GCATTCAGGAAAGAACTACTTTTATCAGTATTCGTTTGTACGAGTCGAATAAAGTGGTATTCTGAATCCCTAGACAAACATTTTATAGCACGACCAAAGGCAGGGCTATAAAATGTTGAGGGATTCAAAAACCTTTCAGTCCCGAGGTGTATATACTATTTTATGCAGTTCAGGATAGGTGAAACGTTGAAGAAAAAATAACGAAAAAAGAATTCAAATGCTAGTAAACCGTAGTTTTTCTATTTCTAAAACATCATCGGAGTGATTCATTGTTACCATATCAAAGACCTCAGTAACTATGGTGTCGCAGATCATGATTGTCATCGGCAACTGAAAATCTTGGTGTGTTATGACAAGTGAATAAGTATAAAACAAAAATAAATGAATATTAGTCACACACAACACGCTACACCGATTGAAAGACGTTGATCGCGATGGAACAAATCGAAAAGGCAGCTCAAGAAGCTGAAGGCCAATTATTATCAAGAAAATCTGGAGAGGAATATAAAAAACGGTTATCTGGGAACATAGAAAAATGTACAGAAAAAAGATAGTGCTTGGAAAAGTCAGAAGAGCTTGAAGCATCGTCATTGTGGAGCGTATACAGGGTGTTACAGAACTATGGGATCAAACTTCTAGGGGTTATTCAGTGCAACAGTAGAAAACATTTGAGTATTGGAACCCATGTCCGGAAAAGTGTCACTACGGCACTACGGCCTAAGACGCGTTAAAATTCAGAAAGACTATGAATTGCCTAAATAGGATTTAATGCATTTATTTTGCCTTTTCTACATAATATCATCACAACAATTGTTCAAAATGTCTTCCTCCAACCTGAATACACCGATTTAAACGTCGCACATGATTTCGGCGGACTTGAATAAAAATTTGATCATTGTTTTGAATGATTTCAAATGCTGCTATAATTCGTCCAATTAAGTCTTGCTCTGTTTCTACTGGAGTTTCGTAGACCAAAGACTTCACATGTCCCCACAGGAAAAAATCTAGCGGCGTTAAATCGGGTGACCTAGGAGGCCAAGAAACTGCTCCACCTCTGGCAATCCAACGGTGCCCAAACCGCTGAGCCAAATCCTCACGTACTTGTACAGCAAAGTGAGCCGGCGCTCCATCATGCTGAAACCACATTTGCTGTCGAACGTTTAGTGGAACATTTTCAAGAAGTTCTGGAAGAACTTCCTCCAAGAAACGCCGGTAAATAGGTCCTGTTAACCGTTCCGGTAGAAGGTATGGCCCAATCAAATAATCATCAACAATGCCTGCCCATACGTTGACAGACCAACGTTGCTGATGTTTCCTAGGAAAAATTGCATGGGGATTTTCTTCGTCCCAAACATGGCTATTCCTACTATTAAAAATACCGTCTCTTGTGAAAGAGGCTTCATCGGTCCATAAAACATAGCATAAAAAATTTGGTTGTGCAGCGATTTGATGAAGAAGCCATTGACAAAATTGAACTCTAGGATGATAATCGGCTGCAGTCAATCCTTGAACTTTCTGAAAGTGGTAAGGATAAAGTTGTTGCTCGTGTAGCACCCGCCAGACGGAAGCGTTAGTCGAATTCATATCCATAGCAATGTGACGTGTGCTACTTGATGGTTCGTCGGCAACTCGCTGAAGGACCTCTTCTTCAAATTCGACCGTTCTTACGGTTCGAGCAACACCAGTATCATGCATGTTGGTTCTAAACATGCCTGTCTCGGAGAGCCGCCGATGAATAGCAATAAACTTTTTGTATCCCGGATGCTGTCGTTCGGGATAACGTTCTTGATACAACCGCGCTGCTGCTCGTGCATTGCAGCTTGTTGCTCCGTATGCCAAATGCATATCCGCCAATTCTTGATTGGTAAAGTTTTCCATTAGCAACAATTAATTTTTGTTGAATTCTTGCAAACTTCACAAATACGATAGCACGACTAAAGCGATATGGAATGCAGCCACAAAAAACAACCTCTTTTATCGTTTTTAAAGATAACAACACACAAGCGCCGGTAAATTGTTTAAAATCATCAGCTAATTTTTAAACATTGACATTGACATTTTGAACAATTGTTGCGATGATATCATGTACAAAAGGCAAAAATTAAATGCATTAAATCCTATTTAGGCAATTCATCGTCTTTCTGAATTTTAACGCGTCTTAGGCCGTAGTGCCTTAGTGACACTTTTCCGGACATGGGTTCCAATACTCAAATGTTTTCTACTGTTGCACTGAATAACCCCTAGAAGTTTGATCCCATAGTTCTGTAACACCCTGTATATTCGATATTAAATGCCACAAACATTTCGAAAATACGTTCATGAATTTAGCTTCAATTGCAAAGGATCCACTTCGAATCCCTAGGGATTCAAAGTGAGTTCAATTTTCCTAGAGTTTCAAAAAACTTCTATTTTTCCCGAAAATAGGGAATAAAGGCACCCTTTAAATCCCTGAAGTGCATAAAAGATATTTGAAATAATGCCTCCTGATCTGACCTATAAAGAATGAAGAAAAAAATTTCGAATCTTCAGTGTCGAAACAAATTGCTGGTTCGGTTGATCGAACGTCATCATGAGAGGTAACAAGATATTATAATTCGCTTTCGAATTCATGTTCAAGCTGAAATTTATTAGGAACCACTCACTAATGTTGACAAAGAATAAAACATTGAAAATTTATACCTATATATGCGATTGTCCCCAGTTGTTATTTGAGAAATGAATGATCATATCAAAATAGTAGCCGACCTCAAGTTTGAAAACATGATTTTTTGATTATTTTTGGTAGGTATTTTCGACTTTGTGAAGGACACTTCGTTTTGTTGAGGATTGAGAGTATGTGCATATCTTTTATTCGAATTGAATTGATTGTTTTCACGAGAAAATTGGTAATTCATAATACACTGTATGAAAATGTACCCTAACCCACTTCGTTTTTACGATACAGGGTATTGATGTTGGAAGTATTGAATGTTTTTTCACGATTCCCAGTAAAGCTTTCATGGTGAAAAATATCCAATATGGTTGGTGACCGACAAAGTTCCAACATATCAGAATCAATCTTATCGGGGATATTGAATTGAGACCATTTTTCTGTAAACAGAATTATTTTCATTGAACTTTATGAAACAACTTTGGAGATCTGGAGTCATTATTAGGAAAAGGATTTCAACAAAAAACCAAGCAAGTGAGGACAAACCATCATGTACTTTTTCATGAAATATGACGAGGATTGTGTGTTCTGGTTCCCACGAAGAGGGATATCCTGTAATGTTCAGAGAACATCGTGGGAACCAAGGGAAATGAGGTAGGAATTGGTGTTCTTCTTGAATTTCTGGAGGTTATATGCCTCGGGGAACACCTCCCTTGGCAATGTGTTCCAGAGCCTCGCTGTTCGTTGGATGAACGAGTCTTTGGAAAGAGATGTTCTGCAGGTCTCCAAAGTGATCACGAAGGGCTGTGAAGCCTCAACTCGACGGGTTAATCTCGCGGGGATTGCCAAGGAAGGAACAATTGTTGATATTTCAGAAGAGCATCGTCCATGAAAATATCTATAAAATAGAGCCAGATCGCCAACTTTTCTTCGGTGTTCCAGAGAAGTGAGTGAGTTTGTGAGCGAGACATCACCCACGAGACGAATTGCCCTTTTTTGGACAGAATCCAACAGTTCCAGAGAATGTTTGGGTGCTGCACTCCAAATATGGTAACAGTGTTCCAGAACAGGTCGGATCTGTGCCTTATAGATCATAAGCAGCTGACTGGAAGTGAAAACATTGTCATGATAGCCCCAAGGCTCCTGTTTGGGCCTCCTTAGATTGCATAACCCCCGGGTTTCACCCTCAAATGCCATCATACTTTCAGGGGAAATTTTCTCAGAAATCTCTGCTTCAATTCCATAACTAGCAATACCAGTTAGACGAACTCGTCAGGCCCAGTCAGCACATCCCTTCGCCGTTATCCTTGAAAAATGTCGAACAACACTCTCCACCAAGACAGCACAGAATATTCTATGAATATTCTGACAACGTTCAGATATACTGATTTCAGAATATTTTCATAGGATGTTCTGAGAATTGCCTCTTTTTTCTTTTTGAATGTTCTGAGAATATTCTTTTCGAATATTCTGAGAATATTCAGAATCGAATCAAAATAAATGATATTGACACAACCTATCATTCTCTAGCCTCAATTCAGTGTTGTTATCTTGCTATTTATTTTATTCATCAATAGGGTTCGTGGCAAAGTGGTTAAGGTTTCAGGTTAGTGAAAATTCAATCACAAGATAGCAGGTTCGCGTCTCCACCAGAGCAAGCTTCTTCAATTTCCTTCTTTCTTCTTCAATATAATAGAAATATCCTCAGAATATTCAAAACACTCCGCGTGTTCATAAAACATTCCTAGAATATTTGTAATATATCGAGAGAATATTCTGAGAATATTAAAATATTCTCGAAGAATATCTTATGAACGTTTTATGAATGACATCGTGCTATCTGGGCTTCGTCTATAGAACGGCAAAACTTTGGAATTCTTTGCCAATGGCAGTTCTCCCAAGAACTTATAACTTCCAAAATATCAAAACTAATTCCAACACCTACCTCCTCTTCCTATCCGTTCTAGGTACGCACAAAGTTCCACGAACATTATAGATATTTCCTTTCGTGCGCTCCAAGAAATGAAGAAAAAAGAAAAACGCCACTGAGTGTAATCCTCATTATTCATGATCGTAAAAATGATAAAAACAGTATTGTTTTCATGTAAAGATTCCATTTACACGAAACCATACCCGGGAAGATGATATATAATATAACTTTTGCAATTTAAGTACCTTATTGGAAATTCTGACTGGTCTATTAACATTGTAGCCATTATCGGAAAAAATTGACCTTACTAGTGGTGGGAGTCAAGTTCTCACCCAGAATCTTGATATATACCTAGTTGCGTGAAGTCAGGTGGCAATGTCAACTCACTTCTAAATTACTTGTATCTGTTTAGCATTAATGATGTTCGTTTGTTATTTATTGTTCATTGGTTTATACGTGCAGGTGCTCGGACATCCGGCAGAGATCAATGAAATTGAAGAAGAAGGTAATCAAAGTTGAAAGAGAGAAATCCTAGAAAATAATTTTCGGAATTTGAAAAACGGTTTTTTGACATTTGCAAAAATCAAAATAAAATAAAGTGATCACGAGAAGAAAAAAAAACACATTTCGAAGTTTGCGGATGTGCTTTGTATGCATTATCAGTGGACGAAGTCACTTTGAAGCAAGAGACAATAATGATATTGTCCCTTTCAACTGACAATAATAATCATTGTCATTTTTGAACTGACAATTGCCACTTTGAACTGTGCTTTGCCCACTTGAACTGACAAATATTGTCACTTTAAAGTACATTTTTATACCAACACTGACCTTTATTAGCAATTTCAAGCGATATAATTGTTTTTCAGTCAATTCACCTGTATATACAGGGTGTTTCAAGTTGGGTTTGCTCAGTGAGAAAATGTCGTAACGGCATCCGTTTTCATGATGCAAGGGTGTTGAAAAAATTATTTTTGTACATATACAGTGTGACCCATTTAAGATGGAAGCACCCTTATAAAACTTACATTTTTCAACCGATTGGAATGATTTTTTTTTGTTAGGTAGATATTCAAAAAGTCTATTAGGACACTAAATATCATGAATAAATCTCCATTTCCAGGGCCAACTAATCTGATTTTTCAAGGTCAAAAATCTAAAAAAATTACTAGCGATTTTTTTAGAAAAAATCTGACTACACCACTAGATCTGTGACATTTTCAAATGGGTAACATTTAAATTACGTTGAAATGCGTCAATCAATAAAAAAGTTATAAATGAATGAAATTTGAAAAATATGCCGTTTAATCAACCCACCAATTCATGTTCAGGAATTTTATGAAAATTCTGTATACTCCACTGGATTCAGGATGTCTTGAAATATTACTGATCACAGTTTCATCGAAATCTGTTCAGTAATAAAAATTGGTGTCAAATTGAATGATGTTCAAGTTCACATCAAATTTGGATTGAAAAATCTAACCTCAAGAAAGTTATGTTCAAAACTACTCGGTACGAACCGTGTAACTAGCGCCCTCTATGAGAGTCAGATATAGAAACGAATGCATGCGATGTGTCGGATTCCAAGTAACATCGATACAAAATTTCATCACAATGGTGCCAGTAGTTTCAACATAATCGTAAAAAATGTGTAAAAAAAATATTGTTTCAACACCTTGTATCTTGAAAGCGGATGGCGCAACGAAATTTTTTTACTGAGCAAACCCAACTCATTTTGCAATGTTCTACCTACTCTAGCAAGGGGGTTAGGTTTTCTTGAAACACCCTGAATAAACTGTAATATCGAACTCGTTACTAGATTCACCTTCTTTTGCATCAAATGAATCAAATTTTTCATTTCAAATGAAATGCGCTAGAATTTTGAGATCGGTTGCTGAGGTTCATACATTCAAGTGCAACCTCAGGAAAACTGAAATTCACTCATGCTGTTTCGAAAAAAAAATTGAAGAGAACATCAGAAAAATGGCACTACAGATTTTTTCTGCTGAATTAAGGTCCAGTTGTAATTATAAAAAGTGTTCTATCGATTGTTACGAACTTTTCATATTTATATCAAAGTACCTAATTAACCATAACAAATTAGATCTAATGATATGAGGAGTTGTTCTCAGTAAACAAGGTGGCTCAAGAAATGGTTCAAGCAACAACATTATCCGAATATTGACAATTCAAATCATGGATTAATTCAAAATGAGTTTAAGTAGTACATTACAAAACAAATTTCGATATGTGAAAATTATTATAGAATTTTTGTGACGCCGAAATTTCAATGGTCACTTGGAAGGGACAAATGTCAAGACAATCGTCAGTTCCAGCGTGGGTAACTCTTGGAGAGTATCTGACAAGGTCGGACAATTGCGAATCTGGAATAGTAGAATTAAAAAGATTCTGATTAACAACAATTCAAAAAATCCATACTTCCTCAAACTACTTTTTTATTTCTTCTTCAAAACAAGAGATATTGACGTGAATCAAAAACTATTATTTAGAAGGTTCGGAAAGTCATTGAGTACAAATTGAATTCTGATCAATTATAAATGGATAAATTCCATACTTTCTTAAAACACTCGTATCTTCTCTCAATAAGAAGATATTGACTTGAATCAGAACCAATACATCCTATAAATGTAGTCAATAACTAGTATAGCCTCCTCCAGCTTGAATTACAACATTCAACTGCCGTGGTAGGTATCGAGTTAATCAAATTTCTGAAGCAAATCTTCAGAAATTGCTTCAAATTCTCCTTGAAGGCCAAAGCGTATAGGAAACTCTTGGAGAGTATCTGAGAAGGTCTGAAAATTGGGAATTAGAAAGTCTCTGGAGGTTTTGAATTATTGTTAACAACAATTTGATGAATCCATACTTTCTCAAAATACTTTTATCTTTTCTTGAAAAGAAGAGAGGAAAGGGATTACAACTCCAATCCAAAATATGATGAAGCAAAGGTTGAAGAATTGTTCTGAATTATTGTTGATAAAAATGGAAAAAATTCCATACTTTCTTGAAACACTATCTTCTCTAAAAAGAAATTGTTCTAAAATTGTTCTATCCATCATTCGGTTGCCCCCTTACCAGAAACCCTCAGAAGTCTTCGAGAGTCTTGTGCGAGCAAGGAATGACGGAGGCCTTACCTTTTAACGTGTGATCCCAAACACTTTCTTGGGCCATCAGAAAAAATTATGTAGTCGCTAGGACTTGATCCCACGACCGGCAAGCGAATGCGGATCAGAATACTGACACTCTGTCCGCACGGCTACCTGGCTCCTTCAATAAGAAGATATTGACGTGAATCAGAAACCATACCTCCTATAGATGTAGTCATCAATAACGAGTACAACCTTCTCATGCTTGAATTACAACATTCAACTGCCGTGATATCGAGTTCATCAAAGCAGTCTCGAGGAATTACCTCAAAAACTTCTTGATAGTCGAATCTTAAGTCTTGAAGAGTCTCAGACAAGATCGGCGAAGGCGAATAAGCAAGCTCTGAAGGTTCTATTTCTATCTTCACTTGAAATGAAGATATTGACGTGAATCAAGAATCAATGTGTTGAGGAAGGACGTAAAGGGATCACAACTTCAATCCAAAATATGCTGAAGTAGAAGGTTGAAAAATTGTTCTGTATTATTGTTGATGAAAATGAAATGATCACATACTTTCTTGAAACACTCGTATCTTTTGTCTGAAAGAAGATATTGTCATGAATTGAATACCATTGTGTTCAGAAAGGATCACACTCCAATCCAAAACATGATTTGGTTAAGTTTAACCACCCACCTCTGCCACTGAGCGTTAAGAAGTTAAGGGTGAAAGAACAAAGTTCGTTTTTCCTTGTATAAAGCAATCAGCTTTGTTCGAGAATCAAAATTTAGTCTAACCCTTCGAAACATATACAGGGTGGCATTGGAATAAGTGCATATACTTCAAACCATGAGAAACCCAAATAACACACTCATGTCCCATGGATATCCTTAGGACGTCCTGTCGAGACATTCAGGACGTCCATAGGACGTTCGTATTTGGTACCGTGGACGTCCATTGGACGTATGTGGGACGCACAAATGTCCCACTTGAGGTACAACTAGGGACGTCCTCGAGGGATGTTCATGGGACGACTATCGAATACCTAAATCCTACAGTATTGCTCATCAAGCACTACAAAGGACATCCTTAGGACATCCATAGGACACCCCATCAGCAACGCTAAGGGATATCAATTTGATGTCCATAGGATGTCCCAGGGACGTACGAATTATTCTTGAATTTGAATTCTTCTGGGTCCCTCTAGAACCAGATCTTACATAACTGATTAGGACATCCAGTTGAATTGATGGTCCGTAGAAGGTCCCCAAAAAGTTTCCCACGGATGTCCAATAGACTTACGTGTAGGACATTGACGAGAAGTACTAATAGCCTACGAGCAATCATTCGTCGGCGAGGTGTGAGTAAACGTCCTCGCAGGGACTACATATTGAAAGTACCGACTGGGACGTCTATAGGACGTTATTTCTAGGACATTGGAAGAGTACAGTTCATGTACCAATTGGGACATCCGACGGATATCCCTAAGAGACATTCGAAGGATATTCCTAAGCGACATTTAGATTGTTATACGATATGGAAATATTGAGGGCGTCTGTGCAGAGATATTTGGAAGAATGAAGTCATGCCAGAATATGTACTACTCGGGACATCCGATGGATGTCCCTAAAGGAACGTTCAAAATCATATCCCATCAGGGACATGCCAAGGACGTCCTTGCATGGACATTCTACAATATGTACCACGTGGGACGTCTAAGGGACGCTATTTCTAGGACATTTGAAATGATGTATCAGCTGGGACATTCCGTGGACGTCCTTGCTCGGACATTGCATGAGATGTACGGGATGAGACGTCCCAAGGACACTTATTTTTAGTTCGGGACATTCGGACGTGAATTGTACCAAATAGGGACGTCCCTAGGACGTTGTGTGCTATTAGAGAAGCTAAACGTATACTATCGAATGACACCAATAAAGAAATATAGGGATCAAAATAGAATTTGGGGTTCGACCCTTTTTTCCACCAAGATTTTTACACTGTAGCAAATCTGACAGCACCTCTGTTTTTTATGCGGATGACACATTCACGCGGAGTTCATCATTCAAATTCAAAATGGCGTACTTGATTTTTTTCTCGTTTTCTGTTCAATTTTCGGGAAAAAACACCCTGCATATACGATTCGGTCGAAATTTCACCAGAATCGGACAAGAATTGGAAAAGTTACAGGATGATCAATTCGTTAGATCTTTTTGCTGGCCTGTGTTTTTTTATGGTGTGTGTATTATGATATTTATGTTTTTCCAGTTGAGTTCGATGTGGATGCATTTCCAAACAGAGTAGTACGCAATAGAACCCAGGAAGAAATAGACAAAGAAATCCGAAAAGACTATTGGATAAATCACGCTACGATGACTATACAGGAAAAGTTGTCCAGAAAACTCAATCGAAGTAAGTAATTAAGTGTATGAATATGAGGATGAATTCTCCAAGTTTTCTGGAAAAAGTACATGATATGAATACTCTGTTGTCTTAATTGACTCGACCAGTAGCTTTTTGGAGTGGAATAACTTATTCTTATGAACCAAAGGACCAGGTCTGTGCGGATGCTATAGTGATGAAAATATTACCTTCCAAGAAATCGAATTTGAAAGTTGTGAATTGTTCAGCTCTAATTGAACATAATATGGAATGTTAGAATTTTTGCGTTCGTTGATTTCTAATGATTTCAATAATGATGTTTCATCCCTTTATTTCCC